TCATTTGTGTTCCGAAGATGAACGAAGGTCTTACAGGTTTGGAACGACATGAGGGTGAGTAATTAATGACAGAATTTTCATTTTTGGGTGAACTATCCCTTTAACTTAATTCAACATCCATAAGCAATAACAATTTATTTTTACTTTAATTTATTTGAATTATTTTTTTTTTTCCACTGCAGGAACTACATTTCAGAAACATCAAAGGAACTACTCATTTTTTGCATATAAAAACATGGAGGTGCTGTAGCCTGTGATTGGTTGGATGCACATGCTGAACAAACCAAAGAAAAGAAGAGTTCAGCTTCCATATGTAAATAGACCTGTTCTAGCTGTTACTCAGAGGATTGGGCTAATTTTATACCACTAAATATGGAGAGGCATTCCGACAAGTGGACAGACAGCTAGGTACAAGCCTTATTAAGCGTTTGCTCAATGGAGTAAATCCACAGAGATTAGGTCGTCAGTGCGATGACTGTGGTTTCAGCAACTGTGCCTGTACCTTTGGCTGTCTTTTTAACTGAATAAGTTAAGCTGAACATTGACAATCTTTTTAAGTGTATAGGTACTAGCATCACAGATGCTAAAAAGATGAATGGTTTGAGTTTACCCTTTGTGTATGTGTTTATTTATGGTGTGCAAAAGGTGCAATGATTGTCTGACAAATTTAGTTTCTTGTTGCTTGTACAACTATTATAATAAAGCCAAGAAAGTACCGGTTTTATTGTTTTTGTCTCGTCGCTCCGGCCGGACAGGGCATTACAGTATGGTGAGGGGCGTAACATTTCCGTCACACGCTTGAGGAATTCGGCCAATCACAACGCACCGGATAGCTGGCCAATCACAGCACACCTCGCTTTTCAGACCGATGAGCTTTGTAAAAATCGACGTGTTTCAGAAAGGCGGGGCATAGAGGAGAAACAATAATGTACAGTATGTGGAAAATAATGTGTTTTTTTTAACCTTAAACCGCATAAACACATTGCATTACACCAAATACACAACATAATGTTCTTTTTAGCAACATCATATGACCCCTTAAAAAACTAGTTTGATTAACTATCAGTTGAACAAGTGTCATACTTGTCTTACTGTCTTACCAACTGATCAGTCTTACTTTTTGGATTCAAATTAGACCAATCTACCTTTTCATGTAACTGACTTTAAAAAGTTATGACCAGTCTTAAAGAAAAAAAAAAGAAAGATAGATGACTAACTTTTAAGTCTCAGCAGTTTATGCAACCTGCCACAGGGCTAAATTCTGTGAAAACCGAAAAAATGTAGGTCTGCCCACATGTTCATTTATATTTGCTCCTCCGTATCAGACACACTGTTTAACTGTTCTAACGTACAACAGTAATTCATGTGTCATAACTGTTTGCATGCCATTGCTCTACATTTAATACGACAGAACTGTGAAAATCCTAAGCAATCCCATGTTTGCGACTGGCAGTGAAGAGACTCACCATTCTGGCAAAGCAGACGGACAGGATTCCGGAGCCTGATCCCACATCCAGAGCCTTCGCTCCTTCATACAGGTGATCATGGAGGAGCTCTAGAGCATATGCGTGCTACAGCACACAGATGAGCGTTCATCAGCGCCTACCTCAAACAGGCCAGTAACTGCTATCCCAAATGCTGCTAAAGCAGTTTTAACTTACCATATGTGGTGCACTGATTGTTGCTTGGTAACCTGCACAAAATTACAAAAAAAGACTTTCATCCCAAAGAGAAAACACAACAACAGAATCACCAGAATTCGGCATTGTGTCTAACATTGTGTCTACATTGGAACCAGAAGACATCACTTTGCTTTGCTATCGCCTTAAAGGGGTCATATGATGCGATTTCAAGTTTTCCTTTCTCTTTGGAGTGTTACAAGCTCTTGGTGCATAAAGAAGATCTGTAAAGTTGCAAAGACTAAAGTCTCAAATCCAAAGAGATAATTCTTTATAAAAGAGTCAACCACGCCTACCTAAAATGGCTCGTCTAACACGCCCCCACGTCTACGTCGTGACGATGGAAGATTTGCATAACACCGCCCAAATTTTCACGCAAAGAAAGAAGGCGTAACTTTTA